CCACCCAGGCACCTCATAATGTTTATTTACTTTATTAGGGAGAGAGAGAGACACACACAGAGTGTGAGCTGGGGAGGGACAGGGAGAAGGAGACACAGAATCTGAAGTAGGCTCCAGGCTCTGAGGTGTCAACCCTGTGCCTGACATGAGGCTCAAACTCATGAACTGTGAGATCATGACCCAAGCTGAAGTTGGATGCTTAACCGACTGAGCTGCCTGAGAGCCCCATGATTTCATTCTTTTTGATTGTTGAGTAATATTCTGCTGTATATATATATACCACTTCTTTATCCATTCATCAGTCGATGGACAATTTTAAAGATTCAACTATATATTACCTGCAAAGAATCTGTTCTAAAGACACAAATAAGTTAAAAGTAAAAGAAATGTTTGCCTTCTACCAATCAAAACAAAGCTGAAGGAAGTAACTGACTTCAAAGTAGATTTTAGAACAAAGAATATCAGCAGAGGTACAAGGTCATCTTTTAAAGATTAAAAGGCAATTTATAAAGAGGATATAATAAGTCTAAGTATTTTTATCTAATCAGAGATTTTCAAAATACATAAAGCAAAATTATTAGCATTACAAGAAACAACAGAGGAATTCACGGTTATGGCCAGAGCTCTCAACATGACTCACTTAATAATTGATGAAACAAGTGGCTGTGAAATCAGTACAAATATAGCAGACTTGCATCATGTGGTATAACAAATCAACCTAACTGATACTATCATAGACGCCACGCAATGCAAGTAGAATGTATTCTTTTCAAGTGGACATTGAGCATTTACCAGGATGGATCATATTCTGGTTCACAAAAGAAGACTTAATAAATTGAAAAGAATGCAAATCATATGAAGGATGTTATTTGACCACAGGGGAAAAAAATTAGAAACAACAAAGATCTTTTGAAAATCTCCCAACATTTGGAAAATAATAATTTAAAATATTATAACTAACTCATGGATCGAAGGAGAAATCAGAAAGGAAATTAGGGAGTCTTTTCAGCCAGAAAATAAAAACAACATAACAAAACTTTTAATGCACCTAAAACAGCACTTAGAGGAAAATTTATAGCATGAAGTGTATATATTAAAGACAAAAATTTCAAATTAATGGCCTTGGCTATCATCTTAAGAAACTAGAAAAAAGAAAAACAAGTTAAACTCAAAGTAAGCAGAAGAAAGGAAATAATGAAGATGAGATCAGACATCAGTAAAATAAAAACTGAAAGCAACATAGAAAACCAATGAAACAAAAATCTGGTTCTTTAAAAGACTGATAAAATCAATGAAGATGACAGTCGGACTGAGAAACAAAGAGAGAAGACATGAAGGACCAATACCTGAACCGAAAGAGGTCACCCTATTACAAATTCTATAGGTATTAAATAATAATAAGGGCATATATAAACAATAAATAAATATTTATTTATGCCAATACATAAAAACAGGTAAAATATATTTCCTAAAAGAGAAAAGCTAGCAACATTCATTCAAAATGGAATAGATAATCTGAAACACTCTAAATCATTTTAAAACATTATATTTTTAATTAAAAACCTTCCCACAAAGAAACAGCTTGACACAGATGGTGAAACCTAACATCTAAGGAAGGAATTATACCAATTCTCTCACAGTTTGCTCTAGAGGAAAAAAGAAAAACCCAAACCGTAGATCAATATCACTCATTTGCACAGAGGCAAAACGTCTTAAAATTTTAGCAAATCAAATAAAAGGACGTGTAAAAAGGATTAAACAACCCAGTCAGATAGGGTTTATCTCAGAAATGCAAGGTTGTTTTAACCGTCAAAAACCAATCAACATAATTCACCATATAATGGGCTATAAACATCTCAATAAATGCAGACCTTTTTTTCCCTTCGAAATCCAACATACATTTTTGTTAAAAACTCTTAACAGAATAGGAAGAGAATGAACATCTCTCAAGTGACAGGACAAAAAGGATAAAATGTATGCAAAACCCTATGAATTTACAGGAAGCTATTAATACTAATAAGCAGCATACAGATACTAAATAGTAATGATTGTGGTTTATATACTAACAGTAAAAATCAGAAGCTGGAGATTAAAAAATACTGTTCCCAATATGATCACTTTGATGATGCATATGAAATATGTAGGGAAATATGACAAAATACGGGCAAAACCTGTTCACTGAAAACTACAAAATTTTAAATAATTAAAGGTGACCTAATAAATGGACAGATAATTTTATATTTATGAATTGAAACTCTCAATATTGTAAAGATGTCCATTCTTCAATGTATAGATTTAATTAAATCCTGGTCAAAATTTCAACAGGCTTTTCTTTTCTTTCCTTTTTGTGGAAAATGACAAGTTTATTCTATAATTCACATGGAAGTGCAACAGACCTAGAACAGCTAAAACAACTTTGAAAAAGAACAAAAATAGACAACTTACATTGTCTGACTTCAAGACTTCATTTAAAGTACAGTAAATAAGACAATAGTGGCAGAATAAACAAACTGACTGATGGAACAGAATAAGAATTCAGAGATAAATGCAAACAGATATGGCCAGTTGACTTCTGACAAAGATGCACAAGCAATCAAGTAGAGAAAAGGTAGTCTGAAACAACTCCATAACTGTCCTCCACACCCCCTCTGTACACCCCCATAGAGAACTTCCTTGTTCATACCTTTCATCATATGCAAAAGATAACTTATGGAAGAAAGCATAGGAGAAAAATCTTTGTGTCCTAGCATTAGGCAAGATTTCTTAGATATGAAGCCAAGAATAAGATTCATAAGAGAAAAAAAATGTTTAATTAGATTTTATCAAAACTAAGAACTCTTCTTTGAAACTGTTTGAGAATGAAAAGATAAAGCCCCAGACTGAGGAAAATATGTGCAAATAACTTCTCTGATAAAGGACTTGTATCAGGAATACATATATTTCAAAAACCCCTCAGAATTCAGCAATAACAAACCAAACAATTCAGTAAAGTAACAGAGGAAATATTTGAATGGATAATTTACTAAAGAAGATACATAAAGGCAAATGGGCAAACAGAAAGTGCTTAATATCATTAGCCATTAAGGGAGTGCAAATTAAAGTCACAAAGAAATAACATTATATATTTATTAGAATACCCAAGACTAGAAAAACTGAGCATACAAAATGTTGGCAAAGATGTGCACCAGCTGGCATTCTCATATAGTTCTCAAAGGAATGTAAAATGGGACAAATATTTTGGAAAACAGTTGGGTGGATTCTTAAAAAATAAAACATACACCTACTACTGACATAGACATTTTACTCCTAAGGCTTCACCCAAAAGAAATGAAAGCCTATGTCCATCCAAAGACTTGTCATGAATGCTCATAGCAACTTTATTTGTAGTAGCCAAACTGGGAGGCAACCCAAATGCCCATCAATAGATTAATGGATTTAAAAAGTGAGGTGTATCCATATGATGAGGGCATTCACGACTCAGCAATAAAAAAGAATGAATAATTGATACATGCAACAACTTGTTTGAATCTCAAAGTGGTTTTGCTGAGTGAGAGAATCCAAGTATAAACGAGTACATACTAGATGATTCCATTTATAGAAAATTCTTGAAAGAGCAAACAGATTTATAGGGACCAAAAGTAGATCATTTGTTTTCTGGGGATTGTAGGGTGGGACAGTTATGAAGGAGGAAACACAAAGCAGCATTAGAAAATGTTTAGACGTGATGATATCCCTCAATTATATGCCAAATTATATGCCAAAAAGGTGGGAAACATTAAGGGGTTAAAAGTATGGTGAATGAAGCAGGTTTCTCTATTTCTACCTGCCCACCTAGATTAATGGAGGTATGTTTTGGGGACACGTTATCAGAACATGGGAGGTTCTTTGCAGCAAAATCAGGACCTGGTAGCAAAGAGAAGTTTGAGAACCACGTACTGTATAGCCACCATGTGTCTGACCCGATGTTAAGCACCTAAGGGAATTATCCCATTTAAGTCTCATAAAAACCCTATGAGGCATTATCATTACTTCCATTTTACAGATGAGGAAATAGAGCCTGAGAGATTGAACAATGAGCTCTAGAACCAGGGAGCCAGCACTGATGCCCCAAGACTCCATTGTCTGTGCCACCGCACAGCTTGCCTGGGGGCCCTACCTCCACCTAAAATCTCTCAGTGGGGGAGAGGACTCACTCCCAGGGATGGCCTCTTGCTTGTTCTGGCCTCAAATGTGGTAACCAGGGACCCAGGGGCACTGGTATTCTGGCACCAAAGGTGGCCAACTGCTCCACTTTGCTTGGGGCTGGAGGGGTCCCTGGAAGGCAAGGCTTTCATTTTATTTATTTATTTATTTATTTATTTATTTATTTATTATTATTATTATTTTTTAATGTTTTATTTTTATTTCTAGGAGGGAGAGAGAGAGACAGACAGCGTGAGCAGGGGAGGGTCAGAGAGAGAGGGAGTCACAGATTGAAATAGGCCCCAGGCTCTGAGCCGGCAGTCAGCACAGAGCCCGACGCGGGGCTCGAACCCACGAACCGCGAGATCATGACCTAAGCGGAAGTCGGACGCTTAACCGACTAAGCCACCCAGGCGCCCCAAGGCTTTCATTTTAAAACCAGGACTAAGAGCCTCTGGGTGGCTCAGTCAGTTAAATGTCTGACTCTTGGTTTTGGCTCAGGGCACGATCTCAGGGTTTGTGGGATCCAACCCCGGGTCAGACTCGGTGCTGAGAGTGCAGAGCCTGCTTGGGATTCTCACCCTCCCCTCTGCCCCTCCCCTGCTTGTATGTTCTGTTTCTTTCTCAAAATAAATAAACTAAAACAACAAACAAACAAAACCAGGACAAATGAGTCACCCTCATTTTGCCCCAAGAGGCCATGTGCTTCCAGGCTCTGGTTTCCTGGCTCTGGTTTCATGACATTTCCAGAACATTTTCATGGACTACGACAAGATGGGTGAAATGGTTTCACAGATTAAGGAGAAAAGGAGGCGAGGTTCTTTTTAATGCTCTTTTATTTTTGTGCTATCTAATGTCAGGGTCACTAGGAGAGACGGTTCTAGCTTCATCAGCTTCATTTCTAGTTGGGCCCCCGGTGGGGAGCAGTGAAGGGAAGTAGGGGCTTCTGCTTGGGAGTAAATGATTGTCAGTGAGAAATAACTTTTCTAAATGTAGGCCTCGCCTGACCCCACCAGGCGATGGACATGACCCCTCTACTTGTTTGGCTTCTTCTGCCCCAGCACACCTGGGTTGGGCCTCTGTTTTGGACTTTGGGGCTGCTGTTCGGTTTGGAAGTTCTTGTCCTGAGTTTGGGGTGTTGTGGGCTCAGAGTCCTTCTTAAGGCAAGTGCCCTCGGGGTTAGGTTCCAGAGAGCAACACTTGGACTGAATGCAGCATGGGGGCCTCTGCGGGCAGCTTGGGGACTTCTGCGGGCAGCTTGGGGGCTTCTGCGGGCAGCTTGGGGGCTTCTGCGGGCAGCTTGGGGGCTTCTCCGGGCAGCTTGGGGGCTTCTGCGGGCAGCTTGGGGGCTTCTGTGGGCAGCACGGGGGCCTCTGTGAGCAGCACTGGGTTTTTGACTGGCAGCATGAACTGTATTTTGGCTGGTCACACATCTTCCGGAGTTTTGAAGGTCCTGGAAAAAGAGAAGAACATTCTGAGAAGGACAGCTGGCTGACTGCTTTCACTCCCCCTTTTCTGACCCCCAAGTGCATCCATCCCCAGAGTGAAAACTGAGACCAGACTGGGAGGGCAGAATTGGACGCCTCAGAGGACACAGTCAGCCCCTCAGTTCTGTGCCTTTCCATGTGGCGGTGTGCTGGTTCCTCACTGGGTGGTCATTTTCCAGATGGAAATGCAAAGATCAGAACATGTAAGAAAGTTGCCTAAGGTCTCTCAGCTAGTGAGGAATAGTGTGACACTTAGTAGCCTGAGTTCGAGTCTATCGTCAGGCACTTCACAAACATTGTCTCATGAATGACCACAGCCCACCTAAGAGGTCAGCATTTTTGCCCGTTTTCCATATGAGGACACCTGGGTCTTGGAGGTCTCCGTCAACTGCTGTAAGTGGGTCCAAGCCAGGCTTTGACCCAGCTCGGGGACCATACTTGGTCTGGTGTCGAACGCGGCACCCAGAGACCCAGGGGCATCAGGAGACTTGCACCTTGTGTGACCTCCCACCATACCCTTCCGGAAGGCATCGCCTTGCTCCCGTCTCTCAGCAGGTGGGAAGTCAGCTGCTGGGGCAGGAGGCTTCAGTGACCAGAAATGAAGAAGAGAGGAGAGGGTCTGGTACTGGGTATCTTAGATCTCAGCTGAGTCCAGGCCGGCCTCCATAACTCCTGGGCCCTGGGGCAGCTGCAGCTCACTTCATACTCCACCTCTGGGCTCTCTCTTGGTCTCTATAGGTCTCTATAGTGAGGCCAAATGAGACTTTATAGGTGTCCTCAAGCCCAGCCATTCAGGACTTGTGTAATTTCCCGATTCTTCTAGGAGTGGGAAATTCCAAGACAACCCTGTGTTTGCACCCCACCCACCCAGGAAATCCAAGTGCCCCTGGCCAGCTCCCAAGGCCTCATTCCTAATATGTGCCTAATATGTGGCCCTATGGCAGCCCCTTCTCCCCCGCCTCCACGTCCTGGTCTTCACCCCATCTCCCCAATAGCAGGTGGACAAAAGCTGCTGTCAAGGTCCCAGAGCAGGACAGAGGGTCTAGAAGTGGCCAGGAGTCAAGAAGGCAGAGTGACCTGGGGAGTCATCTGGACTTGAGGCAACATGGAAGGAGGGAGAATGAGCATGTGCCCCCAGAGGGGACATCTCACAAGGCTACACACCCACACTGGGAGGTGCCAAGTCTGTGAGAGCCTGGTCTCCGGGGTGGAGGCAGATGGGCGAGACAGCAGCCGAGGTAAAGCTGCCACGGCCCTCTGGCCTCCAGCGCTCACGGATAAGCCTCTGGCCCAAACCAGTTTTTAAAACTGAACCAATGACTGCTGTGGGCCTTCCACGAGGCACACACACTCGTACCTCTGGTGTGTGCGCGTGTGCATGCACCTGGGTGTGTGTGTGTGCGGAAGCACAGGCACAAGGAAGGACTTGAGGTTTCTGACAACGGCCGTGTGGCTGGCCCAAGCAGAGGTTTCTGTGGACCTGTTCATCGGCTCTGACGCTGCGGCCTGTGCCAGCAGCTCACGGGGTACTTGTTCCTGCCCTGGCCTCAATGCCTCCTGCCCATGGACCCTTCCAGGCTCTCCATCTCATTCCTGGCCTGCCCTGCCTTGCTCCAAATGCTCCACCTGATGCTTTCTTTGAAAGCCATATCTTTCATCTTTTTGTTCTGCTCTTTTCTATGTTCTGAGGGTGGGGGGACTCCATCCCCCTAAAAATCCCCCTAACACCAAAGATTTCCTGGGGGGCAGAGTGGAACAGAAAGCATGTCATCCCCTTCGTGCTTCTGTTCACTGAAGACGAGCAGGGTTCTCAAGTCAGGTGGACCTTCTGACGCCTACAGGCGACCCACTTCGTGGCAGAGCCAGGGCCTTGCTTGTCTCAGAGGACAGGTGTCAGGCTCTCAGCCTGAACCCCTTCCATCTGCACATCCACCTCAGTCTGCTCAGGCGCACAAGCTGTCTCCCGCTGAGCCCCGCCCCCCACCCCTACACCAAACAGTAACTTTCAAAGTGAGTCTGTGTGCTGCTCCAGCCGGAGCTCTCTGCACCTCAACTTTTGGAAATGACAGAGCCTCATCTTGGAGTTCCTCTGTGGGAAAGAGCCCCTGGGCTTGCCTGGGGAGCCTGTCGCTATGCTCCTTGCTGCTGTCCCAGGGACTGGACTGTGGCCACTCCCCTCTGGGGACGACCATGCTGTGAATCTCCTGAGCCAGAGCAGGAGGCGTGAAAGAAATTTGAGGAGGATCACCTTGCAAGGGCCCCAGCCACTGGGTCTACACCCTCCACCCTCCCAAGTCCTCGGCCATTCAGCTGCAGTCTGAACTGGGTCAGCGGCAGGCTCTCACCCACGAGGGGAAAGTGACTGCGGGAGGAGGGTGTTGGCCTCAATTTGTTTGTGACTGCCTGCTTGCCTGTCGCTCAGGAATTAATTCTGTCATTCAGGAGGACTTTTCTACTTAGTTTTAAGACGATGACGCTGGACCAGGACTCCTAAGGGGTGGGAGTGGGGACAAGTCACACAGTCCCTCCTTCCAGCTCAAGAGATGATGAAAGAAGCTGAGGTGGCAGAGACCTGTGGATGCCCTGCCTTGCCTGGGAGGGAGGAGGAAGGAGAGAGGCAGAGCAAGGGAGACGCACAGAAAATGAACTCAAAACAGGCATCAGCATGAACCGGGGGAGAGGAGGGGAGTAAAAGGCCATAAGAGTTTTGCTCTCAGTCTCCTCTGCGGCCTTGGAGGCTGTTGGGGGTAAAGTCTGTGTGTGCGTGGGCGCCAGCAGCCACAGCAGGGTGTGCACGTGTGCAGGAAGCCTGGAACCCTCTCTGTCTACACCTGTGCCCTAGGGGCCAAACCCGAGTCCAGGACCTGAGAGGTCCAAAGGGGGCAGGGAGCCCCTTTCTCATTTTCTGTTGCTTTCCTTTGTGAATGTTTTTGCCTCCTTTATGCCTTCTTCTCTCTGCCTCTCTCTCTCTCAGTCTCTTCCCCTCTTCTGTGTCTGTGGTCTCCCTTTCTCCTCCTGCAGGTCAGTGCTCCTGAACTGACAGTTTGGAGCCTCCTCTCTGGAAGGCCAAGTCCAGGCCGGGCTAGTCCTACAAAATCAATTCTTACCCTGGTCACCAGAGAGCACCCAGAGCTCTTGTCCAGGGGTTCCCCTAACTGCCCCCACAGACATCCCCTCTGAGCACCTCCCCTATAGACAGCCCCTGGGAACGGGTCCTGAATGGGAGAAGGTTGCCACGAGAGGAAGTGAGAAACCAGTCTTCCACACTGCAGCGTTGGGAGGGAAAGGAGTTGTCTCAGGTCCCTGCCTTCTGAGCTACTGCTGCCTTCGCTGCCTTGAGCCTGGAGAACGGCAAGGCCGGCTTCTGTCTGACCTCCGCCCACCAGCCCAGCCTCATCTCCACTCACTGTCCTTTTTCATACTCACCAGACTGGCTCAGAGGAGATGCATTCTGCTGGCCTCTGTGGGGACCTGGAACAGCCTTCCCGCCCTCTCCCTCAGCCCCTCACTGCATGTGAATCTTAACTTCGACGTTGGCCCCTTGAGGAAAACTTCCCTGGCTCATGGGTTGGTGCCTCCATGTAACTTCCCGGGGGGTCCTGGACCTCTTATATTCTCACACAGCTGTGGTTTCCCTAATTATCTGACTTTTCTAGTCTGTCGGCTTCCTGAGCACAGACATCTGGGCCTCCTGCCTGCCACCATTCTCAGGGTTTAGCACAGTGTATGACATGATGTGGGCTTCAACCAGTGAGAAATGACATGAAGAGAAGACCCAAAAAAGCAAACTTTCTCTAGGTTACCTGTTTTGGTTACTTCTCTTCAGTTTCTTCTCAATTTGTGAGGGTCATGCTTGGCCCCTCAGAAAACGGTCTTCCGTGGACTGCTTCCAGCAGATATGCCCTCCCCTCACCAGCCTAGTGAATCCATGACTGTGAGATGCCAAACAGTTTCTCTTCCCTCCTAGCACCCAGGTTCTGAGGTTCTAAGCCTCTGTGACACTGCCATTCTTGCCCCAAGATTCTGTGACTATGGTAACCCACCAGCAGATCTCTTAAATCCTCTTGTCTTTTCCTCTCCTGAGGGACAAAGGGAGGTCTGTAGTTAATCACAATTATCCCGTCACCTAAAAAGGAAACCTAAAGGTCACGTTTGTATAAGCCATCTACTATCTACCAGGCTCTGTCCTAAACATGAAGTGTATCAGTTCAATAGGATATAGTTCACATGCCCAGTGTTTTTCCAGTTCGGTATAGAGACAATAAAAAGTGTCAATCCTATATCATAAGAATGATGTACAGGCAAGCCCAGGGCGCCACGGGAACACATGGGGCCAGGCTTGGGATCAGGAATGCTTTCTGGAAGGAGTGTGCTTTCAAGTGGGGCATGGAGGTATGTGTGAAAGGGTGTTCAGACCCAGATGGACCTGCACTGACAAGGTGTGGGAGGAGCCCAGTGTGGCTGGATGGCCTGGGGAGAAGGGAGAAGAGGTCCCGTCAGCCACAAACATGGGTAGAGGCTGTACTGATGAGGGCCTGTACACCAGGAGAGCTTGGGCTTTGTCCTGGGGGCCTTGGGAGGCTGTGAGGGTTTCTTTTTAAAAAGGTTATTTATTTTTGAGAGAGAAAGAGCATGAACAGAAGAGGGCAGAGAGAGGGAGACAGAGGACCTAAGGCTAGCTCAGCAGGCTCAGACACAAAGCCCCACGCAGGGCTTGAGCTCATAAACTGTGAGGTCATGACCTGAGATGAAGTCGGATGCTTAACCTACTGAACCACCCAGGCGTCCTCAGCCTTCAAGGGGTTTTAAACAGGAGAATCAAAGACAACACAGAATTAAGGACTCTGTTTGATTCATTTTGGTGTTCCTCTCATCTAGCTCAGCACAAACACACGCATGCTCCTCCGAAGGCCCTTTGTGCTGGCTCAGACTCTCCTCCCCATGGTGCCTTCCTGACTAACACCCTCACCTCCTCCAAGTCCTTGCTTGCATGTCATTTTCCAAACGATGTGTTACACCCTGATCTTTCCACTTAAAATTACCAATCACCTTTACATGGTTCTGTTTTCTTTCCCTCAGGAGCACTCTTCACGTACACGAATTATGCTATGCATATGATGATGATACATACACTATACTATACACACATACAATTTTTCCTGGCCATTTTTATGTTTATTATACTCCTGTGTGTATGGTATTTTAAAGTGGTTTTATTGAACTGTAACGTGCGTACATTGAGGATCTGCATGAACATCGCCCAGTCATTCCCTGCAAAGACTCTGCATCACACAATTCCAGGAACCGAGTTAGCAAGGGGAGAGCTGGTGAAGGCTGAAATATCACTGGCAGGTGGAGCAGAGGGGCTCTGTGGTTGAGCTTTCTCTTAGGTTGCTGTGGGCCACGGCCACAGAGAGGGGTGCATGGTTTGCTTTTGCTGGGTTCACAGGCTCTCACCAGATGGCCAGTGGCCTCCACATCTGCTTTTTCTTTGTCCACCAAGCTGAACACTACTCATCCCAGATACTTCTGAGGCCCTGACAGGCAAAGCTGGGTCACATCTGTCATAGTCCTCTCTCACAGCCCTTCGTTTTGGGGAATGTGTGTTTTCCAGGGAGCAGACCTTTCAGGATAAGGACTCAGTCTTCTCCCTTGTGAGTGTCTGCATTTCTGCTAAGGGGCCTTTGGGTTCTTTATGGGCCATGACCATATTTGCAATCTTGTATAAGACTGAATTGAAACACAGTTAGCAAACTGTTTTCTTTGTATAGAACCATAAGCAGAAAGGAATGTGCTTGCTATGCAAAAAAGCTTTTAGGCAAGTCCCCTGGCTTCCCTTCCCACCCATCCTGATGTCTGTCTCTAAGCCATGCATACATTCTGGAACCACCCTGGGCCCATTTAGTAAATTCTTTGCCACTGGGGCCAGTGGCCACCAAGATCGGAACAGGTTCGGGGCCATTTCTGTTCCACAGTATCCTGAACAGTCTGTGAACAGTATGCACCAGCTTGCTGTGGTGTGTAGCAGGCCGGGAGGGTATGACCAGGGGATGCCTCCTAAGTCCCTCTATAGGAATGGAAGCAAAACTAAAGCTACAGCCTTGCACTCAAGCCTTTAACTGTGCCCCACTGGGATCTGGAAAGACCTCTTCTCTGTTAAGACTCCGCTTTCAGGGAGCTGAAGTATCACATCTTTTTCACAACCCCACTCTGACATCTTGGGTCCAAACTGCAATTAGCAATGAGACAAACCACTCCTGAATGTAACCTGGTTGCCCTTCTCCCTTCCCCCATTAGCCTCACCGTTAGTGAGAGTTCAAAAGGCCCCTCGGGGTCATGGCACAGGGCAAAAATGCCCAGGGGATTTGTGGCCATACACTGCTGTGGCAAAGTCTAGTTTCAGGCTCAGCTTTCCTGCCCCTGGTGGGAAACACAGCCTCCTTCCAGTCCTGAAACACGAAGGGCATTTCCTCTTGAGTTGATTTACTGTCATATGAATCCCAGTTACTGTCCCCAGTGAATAATCCTTCGGGGACAGCGATGCAGTCCATTTTCAGAGAAACAAAATGGTCTGTGGCGCTGTGAGTGCACGTGTGTGAGTGAGTGTGTGAGCGTGCATATGAGTGTGCAGGTGCAGGTGCCCGTGTCTGCTCATGCGAGAGAGCGTGCACGCCAGTATGCCAGCTGCCCACTCATTACCTCTCAGCTCCAAGTGCACTTTGGTATAAGATCTGTGATAACACAGTCCTCTTGAGCCCATCTCCTCTGACGTGAGCAGAAGGTACATCTCCATGGAGGGCACTTGAGAGACAGTGCAGGGGGGAGAAGCTCCCTGCAGGCTCCCCTTCAGGGGACACACAGGCAGATACAGGTGTGTGTGAGGACATCTGATGGACCCAAATCAGGATCTGGTGACGTGAGGGTGACCATTTCACAGGCCTCTTAACCCTGAAACCAAGGTTCCCAGGGGGCTGGGTGCTGTGTGAGCTCCTATGTGAGGGTGGGGTGGGGCTGTCCATAAAGCTGGTGCTCCCCCTCGGGGCATCCCTGCTGCTGGTTGCTCTGAAGGACTTTGACCCCGTTGTGGCCCATGCTCCCATCTCACACACAGGCCACTGCAGGCTCCTGATGCCCCCTCCCAGTCTCACCTTGCACCTGGGAAAGTGGCCCATGTTCTAGCAACTTCAGGCAAGCTCCCTTTTGGCTAAACCAGAGAACTCCTCTGCTGGTTGATGGCTGAACCGCTCCTTTCCAGTCATATGGTTTGTTCTTCTCTGGTACTCTCCATCAGCCTTTTCCATGTAGTTGTCTTTTCTTTTATTATTGTTAATAATTCTTATACTGAACCTCCCTTGTCTAACCTAATAGTTGGTTTCTTTCCCCTGATTGCATCCCCTGCTACAGGGATTTAACCTGGGCTGAAAGCTTACCTCTATAATTTACCAACTCTGTGACCTGGAACAAATTGCTTCACCTCAAATTTCTGTACTATGAAATGAAGAGAGACAGTGCTCCTTTACAGAGCTGTTGTGAGGGCTGCATAACCTAGACCCATGTTTAGTTTCTATCAGAATGTCAGCACTGGGTTTGCAAGTATTGCAAGATAGAGCTACTCAGGAAGACAGAAACACCGAGAGGCAGAGAAGAAAAAGACTTGAGAGGGAAAATAAGCCAGAAAAATGCCAGATAGAACAAAAGAGAAATGTGAACATACATACATCAAACAAAACACAAAAGCTATCAGTCAAGGTCCTCTAATTTTTTGAAAATAATCTTTTATACTGTAGTTCACAATTTAGAAACGATTTCCAAATATATTATCTTATTTAATCATTAAACTAAATCAGCCTAGTATGTGTTGTCATTAGTGATGGTGGCATCTTCCATTTTCAGATGCCTAAGATGAGGCTCAGAGACAGGGACTGAGCCACACCACTCTCTTCTACATGGATCCGCCTCCAGATACTGTGGTCTTCCCATCACTGCCCTCTTGTGGCCTAGGAGGTACCAACACCTCATTCATTCTTCAAGACACCACACTCACTACCTGTTGGCCCCAGGGGCCTTGCAGGGGTTTAGCTCTGAATATTGCGGCTCTGTTTCCATTTAAACCAAATCTGGTCTCCAAAAAAGACTACACAATACTGAAGGGTGTCCAATATGACTCAAAGAGGAAATATTTCTAATTGCTATCCCATCTTGTAAATTTTTACTTTTTGTTCTGCTTTATACTGTACTTAAAATTAATACAGTAATATGTGTATAGAATTCATTAATAAATTAACACACATGTGCTGTTTACTGATGGACTTTTGATGACTACACTTCTCCAAATTATTAGAACATGGCATATGTAGTATTTTTAATTTAATAATGGAAGAACGCATTTAATTTTATTCAAGAAATACACATAACGCCCTCTTGCATTAAGGTAGAGAAAAAACAAAGGTCCCACAAATTTATTTTTTCAGTAACACATCAAAGGGGAAATACTTGTATAGTAAAATACCCAATGTTTAATAATATTGAATAGTGTCTCAAGTAAACACTAATATTGTAAAATAAGATAAATAATATTAATGAGTCTTCCCATTCTTTAGACAATATACATCCAGGCAAAGATTAACCAGAAATTCTACATGTGACTTAATGCCCAAGTTAAAGGTCATGTGTAACCAGCTCAGATAATCAATTTGTCAGCTTGACTTTCTGGCTTTCTTTGATTAGGCATGCTATTTTCTTAAAACACAGACAGCATGCTAAAATAAAAAATAATATAAATGTCATTACTATCACAATAAAACATATTATTTATAATATTTGTAAAGAAAAATATTACTAGCAAATTTTAAAAATATAACCCCTGTTGGCATAACATGCAAATCTCTAATATTCTTTGGAAGCTTTCACTATTTTAACAACTGCAACCATTTTTCAAATAAAATCTTACATTGGAGTCACTATATATATAAAACA